GGTCAGATCTAAGTATAATAATACTAAAGTATGTTTAACTAACGTCGATAATTAAAAGTAAGTCTTTCATATTGATCAGCAGAAAGAAAACGACTTATTTAATGAAGATTCATTCTAAAATAATAATAACAATTATATTTAGAAAAAATACAATGAAAGATAAAATCAAACTCTTGATCAGATGAATAATTAAATCCAATAGCATAATCTCTAATAAAATCTTTTAATTATAATCTTCTTCTTAAAATTTGTCCATATGAACGTAATAATGATAATTTAGCATTATGTAATAATGTTGTTGAATTATTATCTTGTTTTTGTTGTTCTGTTTGTTGTCGTTCATCATGATTTAATTATTGATCATTATTTAAAATTGGTAAACGATTTTCAGGTTGATTTAAATATTCTCTTTGATATTCATCTCTACAAGGCATATATGTTAATAATTTTTGTTGTTTACTATCAATTAACATAGGTGGATAAATTAAATATTTTAATTGAATATTATTTCCATTAATATGATTTTCACCATGTAATTGTTTATTATTTTTAAATGATTGAAAAATAAATATAATATGACTTGTTTGACGTGATAAATAAATATCTTCAAAATGATTTTGACAATCATTTGGATTTTATAACATTTTTAAAGCAATATCATTTCAATTTCCTAATCCACATGATTCAATCATTTCAATTAAATTTATTTCATCATTTGATAAAAATTCACTTATACAATTATCATCCAATGGAATATCATTTAACTTTTTTAAACAAAAATGTTTTTTTCTTTTGTAAAATTCAATAAAATTTACCTTATACGTTGGTTATGGATGATGTTTAGAGTGTTCATGTAATTGATTTACATTTACTGAACATTTAAAAGAAATATTTATTTGACTAGATTGATTATATTTTAAACAATATATTATTAATGATGATGGACGAATCAGAGATGAGCACAGGACGACTTTTTCTATCCTGTCCTGTCCTGTCCTGCAATCAACCTCGTCCTGGTGAGCGGCAGGACAGAACGAAAAATAATTTTCTCCTCCTGCCCTGTCCTGTCCTGCGGTCAGCCTCGTCCTGTTGAGCGGCAGGACAGAACGAAAAATGACTTGCCATCCTGTCCTGTGCGGCAGGACAGGACAGGACACTAAGCAGGACAAACACAACATCTTTAATTTTCGATTAAGTGAAGCGTATACTAAACGTTTCAGCCATCTTATAACCAATCTATTTTATTATTTATTCAAGCATCACAATATCATTCTTGAAGAAAACGTAACTCAATAAATACAAACAAATAAACATAATAAATTACTTTCCAATAACACACATAGAAAAAAATACAGATAGAACAAAATACAAAAGTACCATATCAGAGATGAGCGAGTCAGCAAAAAAGTCGCACCGTCACCGCCCCGTCCCGCACCGCCGATAAAGTTCCGCACCGCCACCGCCCCGCCTGTTTAGCATTGAAACCGCCACCGCCCCGCCCCGCCCCGTCAAAAATATGTTTTAAAAAACTATTTATTGACAAATTTTTCATTAAATTTTCATAATGGCTATTTCATTTCATGAGATGAAGAGGCATATTTTAAATGCATAAACATCGTTCCGAAATAGAAAAAAATAAATATATGAAAATGAAAGGCAATTATAATACAGTCACTCATTTTGTGGAACTCACGTATATTTTCGAATAAAATAGTGATTGTAAGTTTTAAGTTCGAGGTTTGGCGGCTCTCTCCCTTCCCCCACTCCATTACAGACACTCCACTCAGGGTTGCCAGATCTTCCGATACGGCAGGAAAAATTGCGATTTTTTAAAAGTTTCTCCAACGACTTTCCGACGCTCCGATTTTTCCGATTTTAACATATTTTTCCGATCGCCTTCAGATTTCCTAATTTTTCTCCGGTTTTCGAAGTCTTATTTGGGAATTCAAGTTCTTAGGACATTCTAGAATAGTTTAACCATGACACGACACCACACATATATAGCGATCTATTTCACCATAGTTATCGGGTAGTGAAGCGTCATGAACTCAACAAACCACACTGCAGTGATTTGAAAGCATATCCTCCAATAAAACTATGATGTTTTACAGACAATTAAGATCCAGCTTTCTATCACGATGAACTAACTTTCTCTGTTCGTTTACTATAGTGTTAATTAAGGATATTTTCGTTTCTGAGCTTTTTTTGTTTCATCACAGATATCATAAAACTAATCATAATCGTATGGGTACTAATTTAGCTGTTGCAGAATTGAAAATCGGAATGAGTTCTGTTTATACTTGTGGACATTTTTATGAATATCTGTTACCTCAACCTGATATTTTGAAGAGTATTCGAGCTAATAAAAAAGTATGAACAAAAACGAACATTATACAGAATAAGTCTTAGTTTTGTTTTGCATAAGTTTTGTGAAATGCATGTGTGTGTATGAATTTACAATACTGATTCTATTGTTTCGTCAAGTTGGTTATAGCATTTTTCATAAAAATAATGTAATCCTGTTCAAATTACTTATGTAGATTTCTCAATCATGAATAAATTGTGTAATCGATATTTTCTTTAATTCTTTATGAAATATCATTTCTGATATTGCTTCGAAAAGATGAACAGAAGCAAGATAAAGGATATTGAAGCTATCGAAAATATATAGACTAGTTATTTAAGCATGGAAAAATACTTTCTGATTTTCTTCCGATTTCGAGAACAAAAATTCCGACTTTCCCAATTTTTAGAAAAATTTTTCTGATTTTTTAATTTTCGATCTGGTAACCCTGACCCCACCATTACAGACCTCAGCAGCGCATAAAAGGCTCTAGTTTTTATATAATATATCAATGATTTCATACGTATTCGGAAAAAAGGTATTTTACAATTTAAAAATAAGGCATCAGGACAAAAAATTAAAAAAATATATGTGAGTTCCACATTTTAGCTCCTCTGGACCTGCGCTAACAAGTCTTTTTTTACTGATTAGTTTTGTGAAAAGATTTTAAAATTTTAAAAAGATGTCTCTAAAGGTCTGAGTATATTTAAAAAATCAAGGTTAAACAAAGGCGGGGAAACCGCGAAATTCCGTCATGCACCGTCACCGCCCCGCCCCGTCAAGTTCTAGCACCTCCCCGCCGGCGGGGCGGGGCGGGACGGGGCGGTTTTACACCGCGGCTCGCTCATCTCTGATACAAAATACTGTTCCAATTCGTTCAGCAGAATGTTTCATGGAACATGATACATTATGTGCGTTACTTGATAAATATTTCAATGAAAGGATTTAAGTGGCACAAAGAAAATCTTATGTAGATATCCCAATAGTATAACTTGAATAGTGTGAACGTAAATATTAACAATGGACTAAACAAGCAAATATTCTTCGTTGAATAGATCTCAACAAAATTTATCTATCGATGTTGTAACTAGTTCAAAACCGTTAATTGAGATTTGATATTAAGAAAATGAAACAAACTTTAAGAAAAAGAAAACTAAAAAAACAATTCCATAGAACATTAAAAATTGATCTAACTAAAAAACGCTGAAAAGATGATTGAGACTTATCCGTTTCATATCATGAGATACTTTTTCTACTCCATATGAAAACAACTTTCAAACGGAATACAACCAGCGGTCACAATAATGACCGTTTCCTTTGGAACGTAAACAATTATTAGAACGGAAACTGTTTTTCACAGTTTTGGAGTCGTTCGTCCACTCATCATGAGATCATCGACATATAGTGACATCTTTCAAACATTATTTTCCATTAGTTCCTAAGAATAAGTGAATGCCATACAAGTAAATAAATACTGAATAAATGAACCTCTTTCAATTTCAAACATGACAATTACTAGTATAGAATAACATAATAATACAAGTTACTTGTTTTTCTGTTTTCAAAAATGGATAATAATACATTAACATCAACAACAGATATAGATTCATTTGTTGATAGTCAACCGATGAATGATGCAGAATTAACAAAATTTCATGAATCAATACTACAAATGTTTCGTTCAGAGAAAATTGGACCAAAAATGCATTTGATATTGTACTTATTGATTATTTACCTGCTATATTTGAAGCAACAAGGTTTGCTAATGATCATATGAAAAAATGTTAAACAAGAGCATCATGAATTATTATCATCAAGTCTTCTTTCAAATGAGTTTATTTGTGATTCATTATCTATTGATACAACAAATTCATCAATAATATCAAGTATGTTAGAAAAAGATTATATTTATTTCTACCAATAAAAGTTTTTCTTCAATTTATGCTGATAAATATTAAAAAAATATCCTTTCACATTGAATACTAGAAACATTTGTAGAATTTTATGAGTTGTTGAAAATCCTTTTTTTTTCCTGCGTATCACTTAAAGCTTCTCGAAAAAAAAGAACTGAGCAATTATTTTCTTCAGAATTCAATTATTTATTAAAAAATAAGTTATTCTACGTTACATAGAATAATGGTTTTAACCGCTTATAATTACGCTTGCTAATTAGCTTATTGCAAAAACCTATTTTAGATATATAATGCTGTTGAAAATTGAATATAAAAAATCAAGAGATGATTTTGTTTACCTGAAATCTTAACAAAGGTTCAATACATTGAAGTTAGTATCTTGAATCGAAGTTACATCGCTAAACAAAAGATTTTTCAGGAAACCAACAACGATTTTAAGAGGTCTAAATGTTATGCTGACTCCAGTCTTCTCAGATTTTCGACATTATCTCTTATGTGCAAAACGAGAAAAAAAAATCATATTATGCATATTGGGTTAGGATCAACAATCATGGAGAGCATAGAGAAAGGCAATGAACTAATTATAAATATTTCAAAGAAAAACAAAGTCTATATGAGACAACAGCAATAGTGCTAGATGTTGTGTCTTGTGATATTTGTGTTAATAGCTAACAAAGAATTATAAGTTGCAAAAAAGAAATTCAAAACCTTCTATTAATGAGCAGTCTTGTCCAGTCCTAATGATATTCATTGAAAATAATTTACATAGACGTCACAATACAAAATCATAAAACATATTTGTACCATACTAATGATTTCAAAATTTTTAGAATATTCATTGTAATTTGATTTTTCATTCTATAGACGATAATGATCTTTCTTTATCAACGGATGTAAATACAACAACTCAATCTAGTCAATTATTAACTCCAACTAGTCTTATATCATCATCATCTACAATAAATCATGCTAATACACCAATACGATCACGTACAAATAGTATAACAAGTAATTCAAGTATTCTCGCGAATGCTGCTAATCTTCTTACCGATGGACCAAATGAATATTCATATCTTGATTCAACTAAAGTAAATGCATTTATAAATGAAATTAATAATAATAATAATACTAAACTTGATGATATTATTATATCACCATCAAAATTAATACGTAAACGACGTTTAAGTATTGAATATCCATTTCCATGTCTTGTTGAACAAGCTAAAAAACAACGAATGATACCAAAAAAATTACGTGAACAATTATTAAAACATAATTTATTATTACGACCACCATCACCTGAATATGAATTTTTACCATTTGATAATACAAATGATTTAACAAATAATATCAATGATTTTATTTTACCAAATTCATCAAATAATAATTTAAATGATTTAATCATATCAAATTCATCGTTAATATTAAAACGACAACGTGCAATTGATTTTCGTCATTTACAAACAAATATGAAACAAATTATATTTAAACATTTTGAAACAAATAAAAATATATTTTTTAGTGAAGTTTATTCAACTATACATCAAGATGATAATCAACAAATATCATCATCTGATATTGGAATTTGTTTTGCTGCTTTACTTAATAATTCTGTACGATATCAATTTATACTTGAATCAAA